CTACTACTACGACGACCACCACCACGACTACGACTACTACTACTACTACTACTACTACTACTACTTTCACCGCGCTCACGACGACCGTCCGTACTGTTACTCTGAGCACTGTCGTCTTCTTGCTGTAGAATGTTCGGCCTAGAACAACGCGGATCTTTCAAGTCAACCAGCTCCACCCGCTCCGCTTGATGGGCTAGGTTCAGTCACTGCATGGCACAGGGTTCTGATTGCTTCTGTCGGGCCGCTGTAGCTGTCCCTGTAAAGGTCGCCGCCAGAAGAAGACTGACAACCACATTACCGGCTACATCTTATTTTTGAGACGAAGTGTGACGAGGCGCAGGGCAGCCGCAAAAGCCCCGCCAAGCAGCCCACTGTCGCCGTGGTGCTTGCCAGCAGGCAGTCCGACATAGCTGGAACTGTTAGTAAGGTCAAGATGCAGCACAGCACAATGTTGCATTGTTTTCTCCATGTTGCAGCAGAGCATCACTTATTTATTTGCAATGCGTATGTCAAGACTTCCGAACAGACACAAGACTGCAACGGCTTACCATCATGAAGGTATCACCACACTGACAGCCAAACCGGTCAGCGCAGCTGCAACATGTCGTGATGAAAATCTACATGAAGACCGAAGGTCTGTGAAGCTACGGCAATTGGACAGACTTCCGAGGCTTCGGCTGAAGGAAACCAGAAGTCGCGGGCTGGACCGTCTGGACGGGCTGGACCATTCTGGGGCCGACCGTCTGGCACATCCAACCAGTCTGGCCAATGGCTTGACCAACAGGCTCCTGGCAGAAACGGGCCCTGGCTGGGCTTGGTTTGCATCTTGATTCATTCAAAGCGATTGCTTTCTATCTTCTTTGTTTCCGACAAGCCAACTTCCCTGGATCCATGCCTGCTGATAGTTGGGTGCGAGGTTCACCGTGGTCACCTTATGTTGCCGAGTGCAAATGCACACACACACACACATCTGGGCATAGTAGGAACTATTGGAATTTAGAAGCCAGCAGACTATTCGTGAAGATTGTGTTGGTGACGCTGATACTGTTCACAAGCTGTCAGGAAAGTGTAAGAGCCAGACCACTGGGGCCTCATTGGACACGGAATGCTCCGTGACGACGGCGGAAACTTCCACCTGAGAGACCGGCCATGTTCGACTTGGTTCATGGCTCCAGCAGTCTCAGGTATTCCGAAATCATGTGCCCAACCCCCTGCACAACTTCACCCCAGGCCGTGAAGCTGTCAACACAATTGGCTCATTTGAGTTCCGCACTTCATGGCTCGGGAGAGCAATCTGGCGCACAGAAGCCACAGGAGCTTCATAAATGCCTCACAAAACGGATTGTCAAACTGTGGGAAAAGACATGTATGTATGCGTACATCTATACATCTATACATCTATACATTTATGCATTTGCACATATTATATACATACAGAAATATCCGTCGACCCCCGGGGCGGCGCTCGTGAAGTCTTTGGTTTGGTCCCTGTCTTCCGCCACCTTCCCCACCCTCCCCACCCTTTCCACCCTTCCCGCCCCCCTCGATCCAGTTCCCAGTATGCCCAATGCCTGCATGGAGCCACCTTACCCTCCTCGTTCTCTCCGTTCCCCTGCTCTCTCCGACCCTGCCTGCTTGACTTCCCCACGCTTCCCACATCTTCCCACCCTCCCCACCCTCTTCACCTTCCCCACCCTCCCCACCCTCCCCACTCCTCTCGATCCAGTTCCTAGTATGCCCAATATGCCCAATGCCGGCATGGAGCCACCCTACCGTTTGTCCTGTCTTCCCGCTATTCTCGCCCTCCCCACCCCCCGCCCTCCTCGATCCAGTTCCTAGTATGCCCAATGCGGCATGGAGCCACCCTGCCCTCCTCGCTTTCCCCGTCCGTTCTGTTTTCCCGCCATTCCCGCCCTCCCCTGCCCTGCTCTTGAATCTTTTCAGAAGGAATAAACCTCGCTCTCTCCGTTTTCCGCCGTCCTTCTATGGCGAATGCCGGCATGGAGCCACCCTACCCTCCTCGCTGCTTGACTTTCACCCTCCCCACCTTCCCCGCATGCCGGCATGAAACCACCTTACCGTCCTGTCTTCCCGCTATTCCCGCCCTCCCCACCCTCCCTGCCCCCCTCGATCCGGTTCCTAGTATGTCCAATGCGGCATGGAGCCAGCCTGCCCTCCTCCGAAAATCTAAACCCCAACCCTTAACCGTAACCCTAAAAATCAAAGTCTAAACCCTTAGTTGTAAAGCCTAAACCCTAAACCCGAAGCTCGAAACCCTAAATCGTAAACCCTGGCCCTATAAACCCTCAGCCCCAAGCCTCTTCGAACCTACGGCCGCGACTTTAATCCCCAGGCGTTCTCCTAAAAAAAGGAACCCCAAGAATACAGCAGGAACTTGTACGGACCTAACAAGTTCCTACTCTAGCCTTGTGGTTCCCTGCCCCTAAACCCTAAACCCTAAACCTAAACCCCAAACTCTACCCTTGTGGTTCCCTACCGCCCCTAAACCCTAAAACCCTAAACCCTAAACCCTAAACCAAACCCTACCACAGGCGGAGATAGGTTCGTCATCTCTAGCAGCGGGGTTCCAGACCCACGGACCTGCTAGAGGCGACTCGCCCATAACGGCCCGTGCCCTGAACGAAACCATGCCCCTAGACCTAAGCCACGCCCCTGACACGCAAAGATTTTCAGGGGTCGGCGGCACTGGCGGCAGCCACTAAGTCCGGCATGGCCGTCGTGGTCCAGCGCGGAGCGCGCTAGCCTAAAGCTTTAGCTTTCCCGGGGTGGCGCCAATACCGCCGACCCGCTTCATCGCCCGTCCTTCCTGCGTTTGTTAGCGGTCTTGTGTGCACATTGGTAGAGCTTCGGGACTGAGCGCTGGGACGACCGCGTTTCGCATGGCTATCTCGGTGGAAAGAACGAGAACGCTGCAAGCATGGAGGAT